CCTTTTTTGGAACAGTGACACAAAGAAAACTGTTGTTGAAATCAGAAAGACTTTGAATTCCTGATCACCATTTTGGCCTAAGCCATGTAGGAGACACTGCAAAGAACATAGAAGATGCTCAGATGTCACCAACTTTAGATGTTTGTTCAATCTGAAAAATGCAATAGGAGATGCTGGCGGACATTTCCCTTCTGAAAAACATGGATAATGGATAAGAATGGAGAGAAGATGGATGGATGTAAACAGAGGACAATCATTTCATTTTTAGACTGTTTTAGAGGTCTACTTCCTGTAGGACATCAGAATCACAAAGAAAAGGTTGTAATCAAAGCCCACTTATGTTTTTAAACGGCCCAGTCAAAGTCCTGCCCAGAATCTATTTGTGCCAAGAGCAAAAATAAGACGTCGGCAGGTCTCCATCCAAGCTAAATGAGACTTAGCTGTTATGCAAACAGAATCAGGCACATGGACTTGCAGGTGTGATCGTAGCCAAATGTGGTTCAACAAAGAGCTGACTCAGGGCAGTGGAATACAAATGTGCACCACACTTTTCAGATTTTTGGTTATAAGTAAGTTTGATAACTCTCACTTTTCTCTCCACTTCATGTGCATAAATGTCAGGTTAAAATAAAAAAAAAAGGAAGAGGAAATAATACTTTTGCAAGTTGCTGAATATATTGGCTTTGATGGTTTTCAGTGGATGTAATGTTTAAGGTAACTGACTTCTCAGGTACTTTAATGTTAAGCTTCCTCCCTAACATAACTCCAGATATCTGAGATCAGAAATACTTTTTTTTTTGGTGAACTGTAGAAACAGATTCTGTTGGGTTCAGGGGTCTGAGTTCTGAACCCTGACCTTCAAAGTCTAAGCTTAGTTGATCTCTGCAAGTAGGGGCTGCTTTCATTTAAAAGCCCAGTTAGGCTCACTTCCAAGTTAATGAAGATTTATTGGGTTTATTAGCAAATATGTGGGAGGAGTAAAGTAAGAAAGATATGAGGATGTTGGAAGATCTATACAGTGTTGCGTGAGGGAGGGGTAAGATAATGGCACAGGTGGAAAAAGCATGAAGGTCACAAAGGTAACGTGGACAGAGCAGACCAGACTTTGCCCAGGCTGATGGAAAATTCCACTTCTGTCTCTCACACTTAAGTGAGTTAAATACATTAACATGTACGAATAAAACACTTCATATCACTTTCATAGGACTTTATTAAGCTGTCTCAGTTGAGCATAATAATACCAAAATATTATATATTTGAAAGAACAAAATTGCATAAAGAGCATGATGTTAGCTGCTGAACCCTAAAAATTAAGCAACTATTTCAAAAAAAAGTCCACTGCTAGTGTTACTTATTAATGAAAGAAACTATATGACTGTGCTCTTTGTACCGGACTACATGCTGCAGCAAAAGTTCCAGAGGATAAAGGTTCTGGGTAGCTTTGATCGAAACCCCCCCTTTGAGTTAAACTGGAGAAAAAAAAAAAAAAAAACTCAGCAAGTGAAAGTGCATGGAAAAATTTCACAGGTCCCAGAGGCCAGTGACTGATTTCGTCAGCTCATAGTCGTGCTATGCAATCTTAAAGCAACATTCACTTTTTACAGCAGCTGCAGCTGAATATGTATGGGAAAAAGTTCACGTTGTAGGGGGCTAAAGTCGGCACCAGGGGGCGCACTAGGACCCCGCTACAGTTCAGTTAGAGCTGATTTTCATTGTGAATTTTCAATTGAGAACCATTGATCTCTATTTATTCACTGGAGTGCTGAAAGGTCAGTGGCAGTATGGGGTTGAAGTGAAGCCACCGGCCGCCATATTGGTACTCCCTAGTTAGACGGATCGCAGTGTAAACAATATGTGTGCTACAGCATCGAACAATGATGATGTTCTCATTTTCAGGGGGACTTAAGACATTTAGCACATGACTTTTTCAAATGAGAAATACAACAAACACTACAAAAACTACAGCATCATCCACTTAATAATTAATTACTACATTGACATTTCACAGTAATTTACTTTCTATTCCCTCTACTTTCTATTTTCTTAAGTCAGCCACAATGTCAATGGTTAATTTAGTCAATAACTTTGACTAATAGCCAGAATAATGTTACGCGACACACTATCAGAGATGGCAAAAGTACTCACTTTCCGTACTTGAGTAAAAGTACAGATACTTGTGTTAAAAAATACTCTGGTAAAAGTG